TATTGCGTAATTTCTGGCCTTGCCGGAGTAATCTGAAGGATTTTTCCTTAGTGATTATCTGACTGGATTTAAGTCTGTCTGAAAGCTGCACAGAGACACCACAGAGTATGTAGTGACTGGCAGGAAATTCCAGATGGTGACCATGCAAAGTGTGTAATGGATTGCTTTTAAAACTCTGCTGAGCTACATCCTTCACATGAAATTAGATGTTTTTGAGACTTACCTGCATGGAAAGTTTCTCTGTCTTCTGTGGTTCAGCAGATTGAAAATAAGGAGAACATTACATGATCTGATTCATGAGCTGATACACCAAATAGATTACAAATGACAAAATGCCACTCAAATCTCACAAGAACATGCAATCAGGCTGCATTCAACAGCAAAGAACTGAAGTGAGATATTCAACATAATTCAAAAACAAAATTTATACAGACATGCATATCAAACCCATGTTGTCTCATTCAGGGAACTTCAACATGGCATGCATTTAAAGCACAACAAAGGCTCTGTCAATCAAATAATGTCACATTTCTAGGGTTTAGCAGTGTCTACAAGTTTTGAACGTGCTAAAGTCTTTGACATGGCTGTCTACTTCCATCTTAAAGCACCTATGTCAAAGAGCTACACACAACTCATCCATCAGCTCAAGAGGTGGAAATGGAGTGATCTACATGGCTACAGAGGTTGGGTTTGTCACATTCACTTTCATTACATTGCACAGCAAGCTCTTACCCCAGTCTACTATTGCTTCAGGAGTCAGTACGCTAGAGTACAGCTCTGTGAAGTATGATTGGCAAAACAAGCAAAAGATTAAAGTATAAATGCAGAAATGTGTACATATATGCATTGACTTTAGCGCTTTTTAAATAAATGTATTAATAACATTAAACTATAACTACATATTATAAATATACTATTTTCAGGTTTGTGTACTTCTTTTACAATAATGCACTATATTATACTGTACTCCTATACTAAATCCTACTATGACTGCAAAAGATACATTGACTTTATATTTACTATTCACAAGCTCAACTACTTTACTGTAAATCTACTTGCATTTTGTCGAGTCAAATTATAAAAATTACATTCTAAAATACATCATTATAAATTAGCAATAAATGATTTACAATTAGGGATGCACCGATATGAAAATTTTGGCCGATACCGATAACAGAAAAAATGAGCCGATATGGGCCGATACCGATATGGTGGCCGATATATCGTGCATCCCTATTTACAATCTATAAAAATACTACACTATACCATAAACTGCTATTTGTTTTAACTTCACTGTACTGTACTGTACTACTATAACAAAAACAACAACAGCAGAGCCTTTTGATATATATATATATGTATATAGAATTTTTGTCATTGTCATAATTTTATTTACTATACTACAGCTTAACTATGTTACTGTTTGAAGAGTTCAGATGCAAAAGCCTCTAAGTGCCATCTGAAAATTCGAGCAGCGAGTTCACTGTCGGTTAAATTAACAGCGGCATCTCCTGGTGAGACACGGGAAAACAGCATCATGCAACAGAGATATTTAATGTAAAACAATAATTCAACATGAAATATTAAAATGGTAGAGTAGAACAGAATAGAACGTGCTCGTTTTTTAAGTAGGCTACAGCTTGTGGCAAGCCATGCCTAGAAGCGTTTACTAATGTGTAACAGGAGCTAATATTTATTGACGTGATTACGGGAGCTTTAAAGGTCCCATATTGTACACCTTTCTGGAGTTTTATTTGAGGTTTTGATGTCCTAAAGAATATATATGTGCGGTATAAGTACCAAAAACCATCTCAATATATTTTTACAGCTCCTCTCTCAGGAGCTCTGCTGAAAACAGGTCGATTTTGGCCTGTCTAATTAATATTCATGAGCCTCTCTTCTGATTGGCCTGTTGTTTTCTGAGTGACGCATGGCCAGGCCAACCACAGGTAACTAGGGTCAGTGCAGCGTCACAGCGCTAGCTGGAGGCAGCAAAGCAAAGAGGAAACTGGAGGCGGCCCATTCAACCAGTGCAGATTCAGCTACATAAGGAGCTTAAAATATCATCTTGTAACGAACATAGGCTAAATAAACAATAAAGCTTATCAAACTAAATCGTGTCTGATCAAAACAAAATACATTTAGTACATGAAAATCTTTACAACAGTCATTTAAAAAACTTCTAATTTTGGCAAATAAAAAGCATTGTGTTCAAATATGAATCCAGAAGTCGCAAGAAACAATAGTTCCCAAAAACATCATTACCACAACATGATATTTATTTGACAACCCATTTTCATTTGAGTTTGCTCATTGAACTATTAATTTCTTTAAAAAAAAAAAAAAAAGTTTAAGCTAAACTACTGACCCTAAACAGTAGTGAATCTGTAGCACATATTGTGAGCATGGAATGAATATGTGGCAAAATAATATAGTCTTTTGCTATATTATAGCAATATAATATTGCTATATTATAGATCACTAACCCCGAGTATGAGCAATTATAATAGTGATACTGTTCTTAGCAAACACCACTAATTAAAAGCCAAGTGAGATCAAATGTTGGCAGCTCCTTTTAATTCTTAATTAAATATGACAAAGACATATATTTGCTGTCTGCAGGCCTGAATTGACTCTTTAAATCTGAAAATAAAGTGCAGCAGCAAATGTAACAATAAAAAAAAAACACAATGTGCATTAAAAAAAAAGAAGAAAACACAAATGTAACACAGGTGTTGTGGAATAGATTCAGACACATACTACAGTATATTTAGGGAATAAAATATTATGGTCTTTGAAAAACAATCACAGCAGATGTGCTCTCAAAATATACAAAATAAACTCATTCATAGAGTTCCTTTGAGTAAAGTTCAATCCCATTGGTAAAAGGCACTGTCTCTGGAGAAAAAAATAAATAAATAAAAACAATGCCACCACATTGGCAGTCAAAGCTTTCGGTTTATAATGTTAGCATGTCGAAAACAGCCCAAGCTAACATTCTGACCGATTTCTGTTGCGTCTTCCTCAATATACGTACAGATCATTCAGTTATCTGCACTGGAGTGATAAAGTAGTGTAGCAGATGTGACTAAATTCTTCCTGAGAATAACAGTGGCATTCACTACCGGACTGAGTGCATCTTCATAATTGATTGTCTCCAAAATCCCATGGATAACAGCTTTGAAATGAAACCTGGCAACCACTTATAATCAGAGAGTTGAATTAGGTAGCATTGCATTGATGATTTTGTATAGAGCATTTCCCAAATGAGTATCTCTAAGCCTTAATACTCATATTCCTGATACTCCTGCCAGACCGCGTTTCTATGGTTACAACCTTTCCTGCAACGCTTTTTCCTGTGCTTTCTTTCTGGCTTTCCTCCGGACCAGCCTTTGTTTGAGTATTAAATGACAAGCTCAAATCAAAACATGGGACAGACGTTGGACTTGAAGCTTTAGGGGTTGCCTTTTGTTTCAATTTCATTGCACGTACCCTAATATACTATGTCTAATGGTCAAGGTTATATACACTTGTTGACATGCTACAGTATTCGGTTTTTGTAACAGCATGAGATTGAAATAAACCCAACATGTGGCAATGGATTACAGTGGATATGAATCTATAACACTGTGCAATATACAGCAAAGGGACGCCTATTTGGGCTGATAGTCTTGAGCAGTGTACCGCTCAGTGGCTACATCTCAGTTTGCAAAGCTCAATCAAAGTTTCCATATTATGGACTTTCAATTTGAATGAACATATCTAAGAATAATATACACTCGATTAGAAAATGGTTATGCATCCAGCAGTTTGTTCAAGGTGTAAGGCATGCACTATGCTTCAGTGTGGGTTATGAAAGTCAACCACACTGCAAATCTGGGATTCAAAATCAACATTATGAATATTCTCAACAATTCTTCATTTCTAGGTCACATAGTTCTGATATTAATCATGTGAACTCCTACAGCCGGAGAGATGTTCTTTGGATCTTTCTCAAATCATGCTGGATAACATGATCAGGTTTCATTCAAACAGTTTTCCCCCAGATATCACATGCACAGATGAATCGCTCACAATAAGATATTGAATATAAATAAAGTAAATAGGGTGAATTTGGATTTCATGTTGACTTGAAAACAATCCAGGACTGCTAAAATAGACTATTATAATATGGCTAAATTCAAGTTTTCAGTTCATTTCAATTGTTTTCACTGTTAATTGTTACATTGATAATATAGTTTGTAATAATAAAAACATTTTAGATTTTTCGTTTTTAAAATGATGTATGTATATACTGTATATGTTATGCTAATAATACAATTTGTAATAAAAAAAGAACATATATATACATACATGTTATTACTTATATTAACAAAAAACATTACAAATTATATTATCAGGGAACTAATTTACATTTAAATATTAAATTGGAGAATTTCATTTCATTTTATTGCACTAATTGTTATGCTGAGTAATATAATTTGTATTAATAAAAACATTTCAGATTTTCACAAGTTATATTATTAACTTAATGGCAGTGAACTAATTTAAATATTAAATTAGAGAGATTCAAAATTGCATTTTCAAAAGTAGTCTCGGAGTGGTCTTGTTGACCCCACAGTGTATTTTGAGTTTGGTTTACAGCTTTAGATTTGTGCAAACACAGAACTTGAACACTTTTGCATGACACAGTACTGATTTGCATGACCTAGATGACCTACATGTCTTGGTGTGGAGCTGTGGGTCCCCTGTAATTCTGGGCCCTTTGTTTTCCACAGTGCAGTAGACAGAAACGTGTTTTGTTGATCATGCAAATTCCTGCGGATGTTGGCACAGCATGAAGGCCAGGGAGGAATAGAGAGGGGATCAAGAGGGACAGACATTAATTCATCAACTCTAAGTCTCCATCATCAAGCACTAAACGCTTACAGATTATAACATCTGATGCACGTCATAAATAGACTGAAGGACAAAATCATTCACGCTGTGTGGCTCCACTGCATAACACATCATGCAGGAAATTATTACCAGTCTATAGTTCCATTCCTAAAAATGAACTGAATTAAAAATCAGTTTGAGGGGTTATAAATAAAACATTCCAAAAACAGAATCTCCTCAATTAGACTTTGATCACGATGCCAAAAACACCATGTGGAGGAAAGGGTCACTGTGCAATTGAGGATATTCACGAGATGCAGCGAACAGGAAAACTGCTCGTCGTGATTGTTGTATGTGTTCGGTCACTTGGCACCCAGGGCTATTTTTAGGGTGCTTGTGTGTCCAGGTCCTGAGCAGGATGACCCAAGCTGAATCAGCACAGCCAGCGGCCCGACCCCTGTGAGCGCTTCCTCCTCCTCTTACAGATGTAGTAGATAGGCAAAGCAAACAAGCCTGCAGAGAGATCAGTCACAACACAGGACAGCTCGGTCACACGAAACAAGGTTGAAAACAAGAAACTCATCTATCCAATAATGTGCTTTACAGAACAATTAACCAAATTCAAATATATATATATATATATATATATATATATACAGTGGGTACGTGGAGAACAAATCTCTTCTGCCGTTTACAACAGAACCATAAACTGCAGTATGAAGAGTGTGTTGCAGCAGTAATAAGACTTTTGTTTTTATTAAAGACAAAGGTAGTTTGTTCAGAAAACCAGCCTAAAAATCCACAACAAAAAAAAGTTTTATTATTATTTTTACACGTTTTAAATTATTTTCTTTTTCTTTTTTCATTCATTCTTCAATTGTATTTTCATGATTATAAAGATTTTATTTTTTACTTTCAGGACTATGAAGGGTTTTTCCTCAAATTCCTAATTCCTAAATGTGTCTAACTCATTTTGTGAGTTTGTTTTTCAAATACTTTTTTTAAATGTAATTTCATTAGACTTTTTAATGTTCTTATTAGAGATTATAATACATAAATTAATGACAATAAAACAAATATTGCCAAGATGCATATCAATAATTACTTTTTATAATATAAAAATATAAATTTCTTGGACTAGACAGTTGAATGCTCAATATGCATATTGCCTTTCCACATTTTTGAATTTGTAAATAAAACCATTGTATTTCATGTCACAACCACATTTATATTTTCACTATAGAACTGAAAAAAGGGCATTATTGTCATGAAAATGTTACAATTATTTTACAAAATTGCTATAAAAAGCAAATTACATCAACTGTTTTCTTTTGAATAAAATACAACTCAGACATGTTCCTGACAGGCTTTGTGAGATTCAGGAAGTGTAACACAATCCTTACCTATGACCAAAGCAAGAGCTCCAACAACTACCACGAGGACAATGACCACTGGAGCCACCAGCACTTTACTCACTGTGAAACGAGCAACAGAAAAGCATTCAGGCTCACAAAGACAGACACATTTAGAATTCTTATCTACTGCTGGACTAAAAAGAAATGGATGGAGTGCATTTGTCTTTCTCAGCAAGTCAGTTGGTTAAAGTGAACCCTATGACCTGTAGACCAAACACTTGTGTCTGTGATGTATGAATGGTTGGGTATTATACTACAGTTCGTTACACTAGCCTGAGGACACCACACAAACACCGGCTCACGTAAAGTATACAGATATGCAAACTAAAAGCAGATCATAGAGTCTGTCATATCTCTGTGCTATTACTAACTGGCATTATCAGGGAGTTAACTAAACTAGCATGGTCTGAAACAGTGTAAACTTCTCTTTTAGGTGCTCTAGTTGTGTCAGAACCATTTATTTTTGTGATATAACCTAGAAGTGAACTTGTATTTCATCTGCGTAAAAATAAGTGCAAGGGTTGTACAGCTGTATACAAATACAAAAATATACATATTTAACTTTACAGTTATATACACAATTGTATATATATATATATATATATATATATATATATATATATATATATATATATACACACAACAGTATGTCTGTACACTGATGTTTATTGGTGAGCTTGCAATCTAAATTAATTAATCAAGATAATAAAGAGATGATACATAAATAATGCAACTTTTTTGGCCATGTTTGACTCCGAATGATCATAAAACGTTTTTCTTTTAAGGCAAAATAAACTGGTCAGTTAGTAAAGTTTTGTGAGACTTAAATCTGTCTTAACTGCTAGCTAGTTGTATCTAAAAATGTACAGTTAAAGACTGTTACTTGTATATTGGAAACAAGCTGGTATGCAGAGCACCTAAAAGCACATTATGATAACAAATGGACAAGAAATCTCAAGATAACCCAATGTTATGTTTCCAAAGTAACCCCTAGTACTCCAAAAGAACTTAAATAAATCAAGTTGTGCTCTCTGCTGCAAACTCACTACAAACAGAGCCTCGGACCAGCCGGCGCAGATGGGGTTTCTCAGGCAGGTAGCGGTACTTGCATCCAAACACGCTCAGATTGGAGGTGTGATCCCCAAAGAAGCGCAGATGCCTGTACTTCTCCCCGCAACGATAACAGAAGTTAGTGTTGCACTGCATGCAGGTCATGTGATCACAGCCCTCTGTTCTCTGAATGTGGATCTGTTGGTATGGAGAAGAAATCATCTGGCAAAGAGTAATCAATTCACAATGATGCACCATCCAGCCATTTATTTTTTCACTTTCTAATCAGACGTGTGAGCTAGTGGGGCAAATTTTCTTGAATCTGGGCCAGTGACTGACATGTTCAATTCACGAGTTCACATTTACATATAATGAACAGAGTAAAGGTTATGCATATTTGGCGTGCTGTCCGGGGAGAGGGGTCCGAGCTCGGGTCTAAGCCCGGACCCAGAGCGCTCCCCCCGAGTGTTCCTCCCTGTGCTGGGGTAGGAACGGGCTGAAGGTGAGGAGTCGGGGTGGTGGAGGGATACTGAAGACTAAAGATAATGAAGGTAAGGCTGCTTTGATTATTTATAGAGGTTCTCTCTTGTGCTGATTGGCTAGATGGTGTAATTACTGATGATGGACTGGCTGTGTTAATTATCTACGCGTGCTCCTCCCGAAATTTGTTAATAAAACATCACTTCACGAGTTCACACTTACATATAATGAACAGAGTAAAGGTTATGCATATTTGGCGTGCTGTCCGGGGAGAGGGGTCCGAGCTCGGGTCTAAGCCCGGACCCAGAGCACTCCCCCAAAGATGCAATTAGTACGGGACAGCAGCCAGAGAGGAGCGTTGATAACTCCCAAAATTTGCAAAGCTTAAAATTGGTAGGGTGCTGGACGTCGCTTGTAGTAGCGGCACTGCTGAGGCTTTAGAAGACAGAACTAGAGGCTTCTGCTGAAGCGGGCACTGCTGCGGCATCTGAAAAGAAAACTCCTGTGGGAGTGGGAACTGCTACAGTATCTGAAAAGAGATAGTGGCTTCTGCGGAAGCGGCCGTTACTGCGGCATCTGAAAAGAAAACTCCTGCGGGAGTGGGAACTGCTACGGCATCTGGAAAGAGAAAAATGGCTTCTGTGGAAGCAAGCGCTGCTGCGGCAGTGTAAAATACACTCCTGCGGGAGCGGGAACTGCTGCGGCAGTGGGGAAGTATGGAAAAGCTCCTACGGGAGCGGGAACTGCTGTGGGGAAGTATGAAAAAGCTAATGCGGCGGAGGGGAAACATGGAAGAGCTCCTGCGGGAGCGGCCGCTACTGTGGCATCTGAAAAGAAAACTCCTGCGGGAGTGGGAACTGCTACGACATCTGGAAAGAGAAAAATGGCTTCTGCGGAAGCAAGCGCTGCTGCGGTAGTGTAAAAAACAGATAATGGCTCCAGCGGGAGCGGGAACTTCTGTGGCAGTGGGGAAATATGAAAAAAGCTCCTGCGGGAGCGGGAACTGCTACGGCAGTGGGGAAATATGGAAAAGCTCTTGTGGGAGCGGGCACTGCTGCGGCAGTGGGGAAATATGGAAAAGCTCCTGCAGGAGCGGGCACTGCTTTGGCAGTGGGGAAATATGGAAAAAACTCCTACGGGAGCGGGAACTGCTGTGGCGGTGGGGAAATATGAAAAAGCTCCTGCGGGAGCGGGCACTGCTGCGGCAGTGTGGGAATTTAGGTAAAGCTCCTGTGGGAGTGGGTGCTGCTGGGATGGCTAGAGTGGGGATGGGTCGTTATAGATGGATTATGTGATGTAAAAGGGGGTCAACTATGATGGGTCTGAAGTTTGAGTGACCGGGGCTATACTGACGTAAAAAGGGGTTGGCCGATGAGGGTTTGGTGGGCTTCCTTGATGTGGGAGCAGTCTGATCGAATGTAGCTCTTGAAAGCTTCTGACGACCAACGACCGAGTGCTTGTATCTGCTGCTGGGGGAGGCCTTTTTGGGCCACTGTGGTTGCTGCGCCAATTCGGAATGAATGGCTGGGAAAATTATCAGCTGGGGTACCGGATAGGAGTAGAATGGATTTAAGGTGCTTTTGAAACGAGAAACGAGTGACGGGGCGGTTGGAGTCGTCTGTAAAAAGGGGGTCGGATGGGAGTTTGGACTGTGATTTCCTGAGCTGGACAAAGGCTAGGAGGGCTTGGTATGGTAGTATGGGTGATTGTAGAATGAAAATAAAAATGAAATGGCCTTTCTTGGTCTGGTCTGTTTTACTTTGCTTAATGAAGTAAGAGATGGTTTCGTCATCCAGCACTGCTAGATCGGAGATAGTGGGGTGGATGTTGAAGCTAGATGTGATAGCGAGATCAGAGCATCTGAGAAAACCGAAGAAAGCCAGGATGAACATGGCGTGCGGGCGGAGTGAATGGAATGATACCTCTGCGGAGGGTGGAAATACATTTGGTCAATATTTGTAAGGTTATGGGTTGCCTGGTGTCTGGGCAGGTGGGATGGACTCTTTGAATACCTTTGATGAGTAGGGAGGTCTGAGAATTCACTACTTCACCTGAAATTTTATTAATTTGCAACGCGGCCTGCGCCGCTAGTGGAGGCAGCCTCAAAGTCGTCTGCTACGAGAGCTGGATGCCCGGCTGCGTACGGCGCTGCGGCCGGAAGAGCCGCGGTCAAAGGCTGAGCCGCAGCAGGAGGTGAGTGAGGCTTTGCTGTGGCGAGCTCGGGGCTTTGCACGGTCTATTGGCTAGAGAATCTGTGCCATTAGCGGAGGCGTGCTCATGCTTGGGACAGCTCCGGGAGCGATAGCTGACGAAAGAGGTGGAAAGAGAGGGGGAATGGTGGACGTCGGGGCCTGCACCATTAGCAGAGTCATGCTTACGCTTGGGATGGCTTCGGGAGCGGAAGAAAGAGGGGGAAAGAAAGGGGGAAGGGTGGGCGTTGGGCCTGCGCCATTAGCGGAGGGATGCTTACGCTTGGGACGGCTCCGGGAGCGGGAGAAAAGGAGGGGAAGAGAGGGGGAATGTCGGGTGTCGGGGCCTGCGCCATTAGCGGAGGAAGCCGCACGCTAGGGTTGGACAGTGGGGCTGCAGGCAATGGGAAGGGAAGGGGGGCGGGTTGGGTAAGTGGAAGGGTTAGTGACATTTAGCGGGACAAGCGGAAATGCCTGGGAAGCCTGCAGTGTTGCCGACTTAGCAATTTGTTGCTAGATTTGGCAACATTAATACGTTTCCGTTGAAAACGCATCTTTTCCTCTTGTTTTGGCCTTCCATCCACGCTAAAACAAGGAGTCCTAGAAAACAGAGCTTTAAAAACGCTTTCCAGATAGGATAAATTTGAAAATGCTGTTTTCACGTTGCAGAAAAGTTGGGAGTGGGGTAAGGAAAGGGCTGAGGATGGGTCTGCGCCACTAGCGGAGGCGTGCTCACGCTAGCATCTGCTACGGGAGCTGGAGGCCACTGAACAGAAAAATGGTTATTAGTAGCATGAGGGAGCGGAAGACATGTGGGCCTGTGTTACAAATGGAGGTAGCCTCACGTTTGCTTCAGCTGCTGTAGCTGTAGGCCATGGGAAGGGGATGGGGTTGTGACATCCTGAAGAGCCTGTGTAGCCTGCACTGCTAGTGGAGGCAGCCTCACGCTAGCGTCTGCTATGGGAGCTGGGGGCCGCTGAAAGGAAAAAAGGGGGTTAGAAGTAACAGGACGAAAATACTGAGATGTGAGGGCCTGTGTTGCAAGCGGAAGCAGCTTCACGCTTGCTTTGGCTGCTGTAGCTGTAGGCCGCGAGTAAGTGGAAGGGTTAGTGACATTAAGTGGGACAAGCGGAAATGCCTGGGTAGCCTGCGGTGTTGCCGAATTAGCAATTTGTTGCTAGACTTGGCAACATTAATACGTTTCCGTTGAAAACACATTTTTTCCTCTTGCTTTGGCCTTCCATCCACGCTAAAACAAGGAGTCCAGGAAAACAGAGCTTTAAAAACGCTTTCCAGAGCGGATAAATTTGAAAATGCTGTTTTCACGTTGCAGAAATGGAAGCTTTTGAAAACAATGAAGCATGTTTAGTTGTGTAACGCATTGTACCAATAGACATGTTTATACTAGCAAAGTTAATTTTGCAGTTATGTGCTATTCACTTTCTCACTGTTGCTAAAGATATTTACTTTGCACGCTCTTCATATTACAGTCCTAAAAAGATGACAGAAAATTTACTCACGATTGCTGTCCTGCGGCAAAACATGAGGGCAGTTGCGTTTTAGATCAATTCCGAGTGAACGCGTCAGTGGATGGTGAAATATTTCCGTAAAGGAATTGATCCTGTCAGAAGAACTGCGTGAAACTTATGTCTGTTCCGTCTGTATCATCTCGGTGAGGTTTTATATATGCACAGTAAGGCTAATGTAACGCTTTCAGACATTTCAGTGTGGATGATAAACTTTGGGGGAAAAAAGTTTTTTTTATTTATTTTTTTAATTGCTTTAAAAAATGGCATCAACATCCGTTTATGTCATAACGTCGTTTAACAAACTTTAGCCCCGAAAACCTGCTTTTAGCTACTTCACCTGAAATTTTATTAATTTGCAACGTGGCCTGCGCCGCTAGTGGAGGCGGCCTCAAAGTCGTCTGCTACGAGAGCTGGAGGCCCAGCTGCGTACGGCGCTGCGGCCGGAAGAGCCGCGGTGAAAGGCTGAGCCGCAACAGGAGGTGAGTGAGGCTTTGCTGCGGTGAGATCTGGGGCGTGGCCCAGGCTGGTTGAAGGCCTGCTGCTGCTGCGACCCAGCGCTCGAGGACAGGAGAGCTTATGCGGGACGATGGTGGTGTCGAGCGAGGCGAGCTCGGGGCTTTGCACGGTCTATTGGCTAGAGCGTGTGGCTGGTCGAGAAGAGCAGTGGCCGCGATGAAGCCTGGTGCTCGGTGGCCATGTCTGGCAGGGAAGGAGTGATCGTGGGGCCGGCAAATTGCGGCGGATTTGAAAAAATCCCCAGTATAGGTCTCTTCGTGGGATGGGAAATTGGGTCTGTGATAAGATGGCAAAGGGAGCGAACCGAATGATGAAGACTAGAGATAAAGGTAAGGCTGCTTTGATTATTTATAGAGGTTCTCTCTTGTGCTGATTGGATAGATGGTGTAATTACTGATGATAGACTGGCCATGTTAATTATCTGCGCGTGCTCCTCCCGAAATTTGTTAATAAAACATCACTTAGTGAAAGCCTAGAGCTCACAAAATGATCATTTACAATGATTACACTGCAATTATTCCATCAAATAATGCACTTCTCAGTATTATGGGTTGAGAAACTTGTTCACAAAGGGAAGGTTCTCAACTGAAAGATGTTTGGTAAGCCCTTAGGTATTTGGCTCAGGTATGTGCACTATGCCAAACACTCATGTTCTAATGTATCCTCCAAAGCACCATGAATGCACATGTCTGGATGGAAAAAGCAACGCCTTGTAGAACTTGTTGATCTCTTGCAGTTGTGTCAGTGGAAAGAAGAACTTTAATTCAGGATCACTTTGCCCAGACCCCAGTCTTATGATGTCTTATGACTAGAATGCCATGTTTCCCAAAACCATAATTAAAGTTAGACAGGAGGAAAGGAAAATAAAAACACACAATAAACACAATCCTTCACTATCTCAGATGAGAACATTCGGTTTTTACAATGACTGACTCTGTATGTAACTCCTATTAATTTTATATGGGGCATATTTTACACTGCATTTTATTTTCCCCCTGAAGGTTAGTAAAGATGTGTGCACTTAAAACTGTGACAGAAGAGTTTTCCACCTGACTAAAATTTTATTAAAATTAAGAAGGCTTTTTTTTGCTACCATACCTTTAAGACTTCAGTCAGACTTCAAAATAAGGTTCTATTGACATTAGGTAAAGCAATAGCTAACATAAAAGTTGTATTCAAGCTGTATAAATAAACATTAGTTAATGTATTAAATGAACACGAATTGATTCAAGATATTATATTATATATAACTTATGTTAACAAATTTATCTTTACTGTAAAAATCACCAAGACTATATGCAAATGACCTGCATTACCAATCAAACATCTGGGGTCAGTAAGAATTATTTATTTTTAAGGAAATTATTACTTTAATTCAGCAAGGATGCATTAAAAAAATAAAATAAATGACATCAAGGACATTTATAACGTTACAAAAGATTTCAATTTCAGAGAAGAGATTGCTGAATTGGTGAAGAGAAGAAATAGCTGAAAAAAGTAATTATTTTCTTTTTGCGCACAAAAAGTAATCTCGTAGCTTTATAAAATTACGGTTGAACCAATGATGTCACATGGACTATTTTAACGATGTCCCACTCCTTACTACGTTTCTGGACTTTGAATGTGGTAGCTCTCTTGCTATTTATGCAGGATCATAAAAATCTCAGATTTCATCAACAATATCTTAATTTGTGTTCCGAAGATGAACAAAGGTCTTACGGGATTGGAACAACATGAGGTTGAGTAATTAATGACAGAATTATAATTTTTGGGTGGACTAACCCTTTAATATACTTACTCATGGTTATGATGTCAATGCCATACCAAATGTGGTATTATGAACATTGGATTACAGTACATAAAGTAATAACTTTTCCATGTCAAAAAATGAATTAAAATCTAGTTTTCAGTATACGTACAGTGCATTTTTGTAGAGCACGTTCATTACCTTGCAGCGTGGACACTTCTGAGCGTTCCTCTGGCCGTGTTCGATGACACTGGCCCAGTGACGCAACAGCTTGTCTCCTTTCTTGTAGTCTCGACACTTCAGGCCTTCGTGCCAGGGCGCGTGGCATTTAAAACACCAGACAATCTGGCACTTTGTGCACTGAATCTGTAAGGAATATTTAAAGAGACAGACATGCAGTTTGCTTACTCAAGAAAGCCTTTTGGCAAACAAAGTCATTCTGATTCAGAGTTTAGACACATAATTCTACATTGTAACTACAGAATGGGCAACAAGCGAAAAACCAGACCTTATACTTATGTTCACTTTTGGTGGACGTCTGTTGGCTATGACCCTTCAGGGAGGTAAACAGGCTGCACTGGGGACACGGTTTTGTGCTGGAGTCCAGTCTGCTCAGCTCTAAGAGGTACTTGTATTTTGCCAGCTCTTCACTGGACAGGTGCAAAATCACCAAACTTTCCTCCAAGAAACCACTGCACTCTGTAATGGGACACACCAAGTGTGCCCGACCCATGTGAACCTTAAAAAAAAAAAATGCAATCAGGCAAATACGTTAAAGACCGCAAGCATTAATGCAGTGGTAAACCTTTGCATGACTCTAAGTGCAGTTAAATATGTAATCCACCCTGTTTGAAAACTGTGACGTGTGGAGTGCGATTTAGTGTTCTTGGAAATCATGGGTTTTAATCAGTGATTACAAGCGAGGACAGAAGCAAGCAGGAAGTGCAAACGATCTGTGTACTCAAGCAACTCAAATAGACACTGTAAAATCAGCATTGTACCTGAGGTACTTCCAAGTCAACAAGCGACTATCAAACAATCACTGAAGTACGGTAACACGTGATTGAAGAGGGCTCAGCGAGTAGGAACGAACAGTAGGGGCTAGTTTGCACAGGTTGAATGCGGTATGATTTGTTGATAAATGAATCCATGTTGAATGACCTTTCCCAGTCTCCTAGAGGGAGTTAAGGGATCTCATGGATCAGTGAGATCCATTTCATTCTCATTGTTCACATAACAGAGCTTTGGTGTAGCCCTACAGCTGCGGGACTATGACTATCGGCACCTCCCCTGTGAGAGGATTGCTGTGCGTCCTGCCTCTGGTTCCCCACCCATCTTCATACGCTCCCCCCCTCTGGGACGACAGGATTACTGAGCGTTTCCATTGCGAGATATAATCTACTCTCCACCCTCCTATTTTTATGCTCAAGCAACATCATTTAAGGGACATTATCTGAGGTGAAAAAAAAGGGACTGGTCAAGAGACTTCTGTAAAATCAGGCAAGTCTTGGGTAGTTACGATTCAGCTGGAATAAAAATCTGCCATGACATCTGGAAGCAATGCATTCTGGACCAAAATAGACCAGACTGGATTCTGTCTGTCATTGCATGATGTGAGCACCTGGAAAGGGTGATAACAATTAGCAGCCACAGTTATTACCACTATCACAGCATCCATCCCTAAAATATGGAAATGGCTTGACAACAATAACCCCATTCTGAGTCAGGGTTGATAAGAGTGTCACAGAACAAGAGTTACTTTTAGAGGTCACAACAATACTGCTCCTGATTAGCCATTTAGTCAAGATTCTTTTTAAAAATATTTTTTAGGGGTGTTGCCATCGCTTAGCCTACTACAGTTGGGCTAAATCAGGGATCCTCAAATCTGGCTCGCGAGATCCACTTTCCTGTTTAGCTCCAACCCTGATTAAACTCACCAACCTGTGATTTTCTAATGATCCTGAAGACACTGATTAGCAAGCTCAGGTGTGTTTGATCGTCCCAATTGGCATACTTGTGCAATATTCGTGTTCATTTTGTAGTCACACTAAAAATAAGCGGATGATGCACTTATCCCAAAAAAAAACAAACCCATGTGGAATATTGGACACCTCATGCACTCAACTGCTCCAGCTTTCTTTACATAGCCTATGGAGAGGGCCTATTAGACTCCTATGGTGGATAACAAAGTAAACTTATCAATCTCATGCACTAGATGGTTGAGCACAGCTTTATTTACCTAACTTCAGCCTGAACAGGCTTGTACTAGTTTGGGGACGCTGCTGGAGCCATTTTTAAATGATGCACCAGACTAATGCGAAGGATGGCTTTGGTAAACAGCACTAACAATGCTCATGTTGAGAGAAGGGCTCTCGTGGCTGATTGTGTGGCATCTTGTGCTCGCAGCAGGTGAGATTCTGAGAGCCCGGTGTGCTTGGAGTTTACTTTGGGATCCTAATGAGATCTGGCACTCCCATGAGAGCCCTTACCTGAGTACGTGGCACCAACTGGTGACAGCAGCGCTAGCACTCCCCCAGGGCCACCCACCAGTTCTTTTTACACCTGTCAGCCTGCTGCTAATGGGCCGACCGTACAGCTAGCACAATAATGGCACTCGGCACCCACCGCAGGCGTGAACAATCCTCTCAGTATGGATGGAGAGTCTGATTTTCAGCCTTCCATGTCACACGCTGGCATCCTGTATTAACTTTGACATGTTTTCTGATTGACCAGCACCACCTCTAGAGGTGGGCTATCTTCTTGGGGAGATATCTTTTTGATGGATGTGAAAGAGTGCAGAACTCACTCTTTGAGGCCGGCCACATGCCTGCTAAGAATAAATCTGATTTCTTACAGTAAACACTCAGTCAACATAAGACAGCAACCAAATTGTTGTGGGAAAAGTGCAGAACAGACATGAACATTTACTAGTGGTACTCATCTTTCCCATCTAGTTTCTAATATTAGCACTAACCAGGTACGGATTAAATTAATCTAAAAGAGCAGTCCTATCCTTAGATGACTTTTAAGAAAACTATGCTGCATAAGCAACACAAACCGCATGAGAAACCGTGAGAAAGCTGAACAGTGAGTGGCTGGTCACTAGGGCTGTGCGATTTGGGGGAAAATATCAAATTGCGATTTTTTTGACAGATATTGCGATTGCGATTTGATTTGCGATTTTAAATTAGCAAAGTCAAGCTTCAGCTCAATATTGTCAATAATGTGCAGCACAGTATGGGTATCATTACCCTGCTGAAAAAAACATTAGAAACCATCATAAAAATTCTTATAGTTTCTATTAAACCATTACAAAATGTTATCCTTTTTGTTTTGGGCATTTTTCCAATAGGAATTACTGTTGTTCTATTGGTTGCCATCTGCCAGATTACATCCCACCAATAGAATCCATCAAATAGACACCATTATAGTTTACATTAAAACCAAACAAATTCCCATTATAACCCTGAAATACATTAAATTTGTTATTGTGTTTTGGGAGGGGTTCTGTTGTTGTTTTTTTCAGCAGGCAAGATTATAATAGCGAGTATGAGAAGCATTCACAGACACGGGCTGTGTGTGCACTCTTCTGAATTGGGAATAGCCAACATGCATCCTAAACTTATTTGAAATTAATCTGTTGGGGAGATAAAAATGTGTAAGATAACGTTCACGTACTAACAAAAACATCTAAGAATGTATCTTTTATTCTCCAGTACTGAAAACAGAACGGATATGGGAGCTCTTGATATGCGCTGTGACGCAGCTCTTGCAAATGACCTTTTTTTGTTCGTTGCATACGTTTTTTTTTGTTTTAAATTAGCCTAACTATCGATCTGACCCAGTGGACGCCATAATCCCACTCTGTCTTTTTTTTTTTTTAATGGTGGGTGTTTACGCAGTTGGCTAGAGCAGTGCTGATTGGGGAGAACGGAGGTGCGCTCACTCTTGCCCAGGGCAAGTAAGACTGCAACTCAAGGCTGGCAGTCATGCATATGCTCTGGAACAGAGTAATATCGCGTCCACATCGCAGGCTTTGCGATTAGGAAATCGCAACGTCTCAAATCGCGATTTCGATTCGATTTATCGCACAGGCCTACTGGTCACACACCTCAGGGTGAAAATTGCATGTCAACATAGAAAGTAACTGAACATTTTTTATTTTCTCAGCAGATTTCCTGCATCACCTCATCTCATACATCTCAATTACCGTAGGTTGTAGGTAAAATTCAGTCCAGCAGAAACTGTATTCATACATTTAAATGGATCAGTTATTCTGCAAGTCTACTAAAGGTCAGTGAAACCAACTATACACATCTTCTACCAAACCTTCACACAATCTGATTCCTTATATCAAATCTACTGAGGCATATATTGTACATCAAAGCAAAAACTCAAAAGCAGAAAGACATAAAAAAAAGCATTACTCCAGTAGCGTGCCTTTTAAATGCTGCTTTTACAATGCCAAAGCAGACATGCCTGTATGTTTCTATTAACGGAGTAAAACTTTTATCAAATCCTTTAGTAAAATACAAAATTATGTGTTCTAAAACTTGGGAACAGGTTTATGAAACTGACAGGTTGATAGACAGGTTTATGAAAGCCAACTGTGACTGCTTCAGCCATTTTCTGTCATTTAAAGTTTTTGACTATCCTGTGCATCAAGGTTGGGCAACATTCAGAATTTAGGAATGGTGTCCCTTTCAATTAATGATTTGGAATTCATAGACATTCAAGTCTAACAAAAGGGACTTTCTTACTCCAACAGAAAAAACAAATGTTGCAACCTCCCAAAAATAAAACAAATATTTAATTTGGACTCACCTTTTTTTGTTCGTTGCATACGTTTTTTTTTTTTTTTAATTTGCCTAACTATCGATCTGACCCAGTGGACGCCATAATCCCACTCTGTCTCTCTCCGCCTACTGGTCACACACCTCAGGGTGAAAATTGCATGTCAATATAGAAAGTAACCGAACATTTTTTATTTTCTCAGCAGATTTCCTGCATCACCTCATCTCATACATCTCAATTACCGTAGGTTGTAGGTAAAATTCAGTCGAGCAGAAACTGTATTCATACATTTAAATGGATCAGTTATTCTGCAAGTCTACTAAAGGTCAGTGAAACCAACTATACACATCTTCTACCAAACCTTCACACAATCTGATTCCTTATATCAAATCTACTGAGGCATATATTGTACATCAAAGCAAAAACTCAAAAGCAGAAAGACATAAAAAAAAGCATTACTCCAGTAGCGTGCCTTTTAAATGCTGCTTTTACAATGCCAAAGCAGACATGCCTGTATGTTTCTATTAACGGAGTAAAACTTTTATCAAATCCTTTAGTAAAATACAAAATTATGTGTTCTAAAACTTGGGAACAGGTTTATGAAACTGACAGGTTGATAGACAGGTTTATGAAAGCCAACTGTGACTGCTTCAGCCATTTTCTGTCATTTAAAGTTTTTGACTATCCTGTGCATCAAGGTTGGGCAACATTCAGAATTTAGGAATGGTGTCCCTTTCAATTAATGATTTGGAATTCATAGACATTCAAGTCTAACAAAAGGGACTTTCTTACTCCAACAGAAAAAACAAATGTTGCAACCTCCCAAAAATAAAACAAATATTTAATTTGGACTCATTCGTACTCATTTAAATTAATCAAAATTGTTACCATGCAGCACCACAATGCTGTTTAGATAACTTTATACTTTTTGAATTTAAGTATTTA